ATATATTGGAAGGCTATATTCGGACATTGGAAAGGTTCCGGGTGATTCGGGTATTTTTCGGAGTACCGGAGAGTTACAGGAATTCGTCGGGGGATGTAGTGGGCCTTAATGGGCCATACGGGGAAGGAGAGAAGGGCCTCAAGGGGTGGCCGCGCGCCCCCCATGGGTTGGTCTGAATTGGACTAGGAGGGGGCGGCGCCCCCCTTCTTCCTTCTCCCCTCCTCCTCCTTCCCTCCTTCTCGTACTAGGAATAGGAAAGAGGAGGGGATCCTACTTGGACTGGGGAGTCCTAGTAGTATTCCCCACACCTGGCGCGCCCCCTAGGGCTGGCCACCTCTTCCCTCCCCTCCTTTATATACGTGGCCAGGGGGCACCTCATAGACACACAAGTTGATTGTTTAGCCATGCGCGGTGCCCCCCTCCATAGATTTCCACCTCGGTCATATCGTTGCAGTGCTTACGCGAAGCCCTGTGCCGGTAGCTTCATCATCACCGTCACCACGCCGTCATGCTGACGAAACTCTCCCTCAACGTCAGCTGGATCTAGAGTTCGTGGGACGTCATCGAGCTGAACGTGTGCAGATCGTGGAGGTGCCATACCTTTGGTGCTAGGATCGGTCGGATCTTGAAGCCGTACGACTACATCAACCGCGTTGTCATAACGCTTCCGCTTTCGGTCTACGGGGGTATGTGGACAACACTCTCCCCTCTCGTTGTTATGCGTTACCTAGATGAATCTTGCGTGTGCGTAGGAATTTTTTTGAAATTACTGCGTTCCCCAACAGTTCTCATGTAAGGAAAAGCAATAAAAGCTCTATAGTACCTCACAAACAAGTAGCATCATAGATGGCTCGACAAATCTTCCCCAAGTCCTTGGCTCCTAATCTCTGACCACTTTATTCCCAGAAAACATAAATGTTCATGAAGCAATTATAAACCAGTCTTGGATGGAAGGCTTACACAGCATCTCCAACGAAGGCCAGATTCGACAATTCAATGATCTTTGGACTAGAACTCAGCAAGTGCAGCTCCATCCGGACATTGAAAACACAATTGTGTGGAACTTGTGTGACTCCCAGATTTACTCTGCTGAATCTACTTACTTGAGTTAGTTCCTAGGATCACCTAGGATCTTTTCCTGGTGCAAATTACCGCAAGGTTTGGAAGGCCAAGCCTAAATGCAGATTCTTTACATGGTTATGCCTGCGTGAAAGAATTCTTACCAACAACAATCTTGCTAAGAAGGGACTACCTCACAATGAACTATGCGCCCTTTGTGATCAAGAGGAGGAAAACCCCTTGCACCTGCTCCTCAAGTGCCCCTTCTCTTGCACCGTTTGGTACTTGGTTGCCGATTGGTTGCATTGCCAGAGTCTGCATGATAATGCTATTCATGCTCAGAATATGAGTCACTGGTGGGATGACCTAACCTGCAAGCTCAACCAGAGATCCACCTCCGCTGCCATCTACACTTGATGAAACTTATGGAAAGAACGAAACCGAAGAGTCTTTGAGTCCAATCCTATGAATGAAGCTAGAATTATGTACCTCATCAAGCAAGACCTCATACAACCTACTATAGCTATGTGTTGGGTTTTGGATTGGGAAAATGATCCACCACCGGAGCTGGATTAATGTGGCCATTTGGTTGATGTTGTTGTTTCTGTAGCAATTCATTATTGCTACAGCCAATTTTTAACTGAACATTTGGTACTCTCACTCCTTAATATATGGGCAGGAAAACTGCCAATTCCTCAAAAAGAAAATAAGTATGCAACAATGGGTGAATATTCTAGGCAGTTGATAACCCACAAGTATAGGGGGTCGCAACAGTTTTCGAGGGTAGAGTATTCAACCCAAATTTATTGATTCGACACAAGGGGAGCCAAAGAATATTCTCAAGTATTAGCAGTTGAGTTGTCAATTCAACCATACCTGGAAACTTAATATCTGCAGCAAAGTATTTAGTAGCAAAGTAATATGATAGTAGTGGTAACGATAGCAAAAGGTAACAGCAGCAAAAGTAGTGTTCTTGGTATTTTGTAGTGATGATAGCAATAGCAACGGAAAAGTAAATAAGCGAAGAACAATATATGGAAAGCTCGCAGGCAATGGATCGGTGATGGAGAATTATGTCGGATGTGGTTCATCATGTAACAGTCATAACCTAGGGTGACACAGAACTAGCTCCAGTTCATCAATGTAATGTAGGCATGTATTCCGAATATAGTCATACGTGCTTATGGAAAAGAACTTGCATGACATCTTTTGTCCTACACTCCCGTGGCAGCGGGGTCCTAATGGAAACTAAGGGATATTAAGGCCTCCTTTTAATAGAGTACCGGAACAAAGCATTAGCACATAGTGAATACATGAACTCCTCAAACTACGGTCATCGCCGGTAAGTATCCCGATTATTGTCACTTCGGGGTTAACGGATCATAACACATAATAGGTGACTATAGACTTGCAAGATAGGATCAAGAACTCTCATATATTGATGAAAACATAATAGGTTCAGATCTGAAATCATGGCACTCGGGCCCTAGTGACAAGCATTAAGCATGGCAAAGTCATAGCAACATCAATCTCAGAACATAGTGGATACTAAGGATCAAACCCTAACAAAACTAACTCGATTACGTGATAGATCTCATCCAACCCATCACCGTCCAGCAAGCCTACGATGGAATTACTCACGCACGGCGGTGAGCATCATGAAATTGGTGATGGAGGATGGTTGCTGATGACGATGGCGACAGATTCACCTCCCTGGAGCCCCGAATGTACTCTAAATCAGCCCTCCCGAGAGGTTTTAGGGCTTGGCGGCGGCTCCGTATCGTAAAACGTGATGAATCCTTCTCTCTGATTTTTTTCTCTCCGAAACCAAATATATAGAGTTGGAGTCGAGGTCGGAGGAGCTCCAGGAGGCCCACGAGGTAGGGGGCACGCCCCCACCCTCGTGGACAAGTGGTGGGCCCCCTGGCCTTCATCTTTTGTAAGGATTTTTTATTATTTTTGAAAAGTTGTTCCGTGAAGTTTCAGGTCATTCCGAAAACTTTTATTTCTGCACATAAATAACATCATGGTAATTCTGCTGAAAACAGCGTCAGTCCGGGTTAGTTCCATTCAAATCATGCAAGTTAGAGCCCAAAATAAGGGCAAAAGTGTTTGGAAAAGTAGATACGACGGAGACGTATCAGCAGTGTATGGAGTGTGTCTTTTCGAATACAAGATAAACATTTTCAGAATATATAGCACTCCCTCGGGTCCATATTATTTGTCGCTCAAATGGATCTACCTAGACATATTTCAATTCTAGATACATCCGTTTGAGTGACAAGTAATATGGATCGTGGTGAGTAACAAATTATAAACGCACGATGAACATTTTCCAAAATACATGATGTCATTTTTCTAATACACAATGAACATATGTAATAAATGGTTAATATTTTTAAATACAATATGAACTTCCTTAATACATGTGGTACATTTTTAGTACGTGTTGAACATTTTTAAATACACGAAGAACAATTATAAAAATATTGGATGACAAAAATTCTAAAATACATGGTTGTTTTTTTAAACACAATGAGCACTTCCAAAATAAATTGTTGATTTTTTTATACGCAAACATCTTTTAAAATATCTGACGAAAACATTTTTCAACATGATGAAGATTCTTAAAATATAGAATGAACATTTTTCTAAACCCAACGAACATAATAAGAACAATCACTGTAAAAAATGGTAATAAGAAACTTTTATATAGAAAATAAAAAAGTAACAATAAATCTACTTAAAATAATTTATGAACAGGAAATTAACAAAGAAAAGAAAAAACATAGAGTAATATGAAATGTAAAATATATTTAAAATAAATAGAGTTTACTTATTCAAAGAAGAAATAGTAAAATAGTAAACCAGACAAAGAATAAAGAAAAAGTCAAAGCAAAAAAATAGAAATAGTTCCAAAACCCTGGAAAAATGAGAAGAAGTGGGCCGACACAGATCGGAGTGTTGTAGACTTGTAGGTGAGCAAAAGATGCGAGTCGCAATAGGTGAGATATAGCATCCGCGGCAGCCTACATGCATCCATTCGAGCTTTTCTGCTCACTCATGTCATGACCCAAAATTTTGGCTCTTTCATTATGTTCAATTTTTCTTTATAGGAGCTATGTATCACTTAGTGCGAGACGTAACTCCGTCTCTTCTCTGGCGCTGGCTATGCGGTCGCTTTAGTAGGCCAGCTCATTAGGACGGTTCTGGGAAGGTTCTTTATACCGGTTTTGCAAATACATGTCAATTTTTTTAAATACTGGTTGTACATTTTTCGTATACATGCACAATATTTTTTGATACATGTTGATTTCCTTTAAAATCATGGTGAACATTTATTTGAAAAAATAAATGTTAATGATTTTTAAATGCACATTGAACACTTTTTTGTATGGTATGAGACATTTTTTAAATGTCATGAACATATATCTAAAATGCGTGAACTTTTTTTAGATGCTGTGTTCATTTTTTTCGAATGGCACAAATCTTTGTTTTAAACTTACTGAACTTTTTTTACAGTGTAGACACATTTTTCTCGAAATGTGTGAATATTTTATAATATGTCACTGACATTTTTCTGAATGTTTTGAATCATTTTTAGAAAAATTATACGAACTTTTTTTAGGCTAATCACACGAACTTTGTGTAATGCAGCAGTATTTCTCGTGGAACATGACACTCGGGCTGACGTTTGTGAATCATTTAACGAGCCACCCAAACGATCTGAGCCTTTTGCCACAACGGCCACAACGGCCATTCTGGGCCGCATGGCAAGGGATCTGGGCCGTTGCACTAATTGCGGGTAGCTGTCCGTCCCCATCTTCCCCCAACGCTTCTTCTACAAGATTCCCCCCACCCCCTTCTTCTTCCCCATTTGCACTTCCACACACCACTTCCCCAATCCAGAGCCTCCCCACCCAGCGATTCCACCGACGGCGATGTCCACGTCCGGTTCGTCCTCCGTTTCTGCCGACCGGGACATCCTCCCCCTGATCCCCTGCCCGGACTGCGGGGGCCAGAGCACCACCATTGCCACTCGCGGCGGCTCCCGCCCCGGGGCTCAGATCTACAAGAAACTCCGCCACAGCGTACGTGTTCTTGGCCCATTCCCCTCCATTAGTCGTCCTCCTGCATTTCGCAGCGTCGCAGCTTAATCTGTTCCCCCATTTCGCAGGCTGTTCTTGGCTGGTTCTTCCGCTGGTCAGACGGGTACGCGCTGGCCGATGTTGCAAGGATGACCCTCCTCCTCGGCGTGGCCAATCTGCTCGTCAACCTGCTTGTTCTGGCTCTCGTGCTGCGGCTGTTCGCAAAGCGGAATGCATCTATGGCGTAATCTAATCTAGATGCTGGTGGGATGGTCGTAGTATCAGTAGTATTAGCGTGGTAGTAGTCCCGCCGTGTTAATTTGTGTGGCTGTAGCCCCGCTATGGGCTTTGATTAGTGGTCTCTTTGTCAAATTAGTGCAGTCTCTATGTAAAATTAGTGCGGTCTCTTCAGTGTCAGCAAGCTGTAGCGTAGGTTCGACGATGGAGTGTTTGTGCTTGCGGCTGTGCCACCATTTGTCTGGTCCACTATGTAATCCATGAGCACTTGGATCTAATTAGGAATGGATGTTGTTTGCCAAGTTACGTTTTGTCAATATTTTTCCCTTTTCAAAATATCAAATGACCCCGAGTTGTCACTTCGCCGCACCTGCCTCTATTATTGAGGCGGGCTCCTGTCCATGCCAACTGCTTGCATTCACGTGGCGTGCCGCCAGTACATATCCTGTGCTCCCATGCTCCAAACTTTCAAAAAAAATCTGATTTTTGTTGGGAATGTTCAAAGGACATGTATCCATAATCACTAAAAAAAATTCAGATCCCAAATCGAAATACACATGTATAGACCAAAAGCTATTGACAAAAGCAGACAAAACCATTTAAAAAATGTTTGTGGCCTTTATACAAGTGTTCACGCTCTTCAAAAGTAAACCCACAACATTTTCAGAAAATATTTATACAATACCAAAAAATGTTTTACCATTCAATTTTTTTTGACATTATAAAAAATCACACGTTTCAAAACTAAGTTTGAGACTATTTTATAAATGTCCATACCATTCAAAAACATGTTTCTTATATTTAAAAAAATGCTTGTGCCATTGAAAACAATATCCACATGTTTCAAAAGAATGTTTGTGAATTATTCTTAATTTCTTTCTACAAATGTAAAAAGAGGTTTGTGTATATTAAAAATCTTGGATTTATTCGAAAAACTGTTCAAAGCATGTGTTAGAAAAAATTTCAACGTGTATCAAAAAATGTTCTAGATGTAAATGTACAAATGTATAGGAAAAGTATACATGTATTGCAAAAAAGGAAAAATATGAGAACCAAAAACCAGAAGAAAATGGGTAAGGAAACACAGAAAACAAAAACCAAAAAGAAACCAAGTGACTTAATGTGAACTTTTAAAAATACATATTTGTTAAGTTAAACTAGATTGCATGTTCCTCTCACTAGTGCCTCGACATAGTGGGCTGGCCTAGTAGAGCGGTCTTTGAAAGCTTTAATGAACGATTTAAAAAGGTCACTTGTCACAACCTGAGAAGGTGAGAGTGACATTTGCAAAGAGTACTCCTTAATTAGTGATTTCCACCATATCCTTGTCTCCCCCACTCGGCTAGTAGGAGAGACCGCTCTACTAGCCAATATATAAAAAAATGAGCGGAAGCAAATATGTTCCTCTCGGAGGAAAAAATACATGTTTTTTTTTGTTTTTCCGAGAGGCATAGTTGTGCCTCTCGTGAAAGCAAGTATGTGCCTCCACGAGAAATAAATCTGTTCCTCTCGCAGAAGAATAAAAAACATGTTTTTTCATGTAATTTTTTAGGATAGTAAAGCATTTTTTAGGAAGCAATAGCACTATGTTGTCATTGCAGTAACCTACTTCTATTAAGTACTATCTTTCCTACTTAAGACAACACTTAAGGCCCCTCCCCACTTCACCTATGTTTTCGGTTTTTCCGATTCTTCTCACTGGTTTTTCTTGAAAAATGCCTCAACTATCTCATGTCATTTTAGTTTAGCAAATAAAATTATGTTTTCTTTAGTATGTCAATAAGTACTAGTTTAATTGACGGTCTATTTTTGGCACGTTATGGCTAAGCCACAAGTTTAAAGTTGTGACGTCAATTCAAATTTGTGACCAAATACGTGTGTTTATATGATTTTATTATTATTTTTGCTTGATTTCTACTTATATGTGGTGCTTTTGCACAAATACTGTATGGTCAACTGACTACACCAAACACACGTGGAGCCACCACTGTGTAATCACACTTACAAACTATCAACAAAATGACAGGTAAATCATGATAAGTGCGTACAAAATATGTATGCCCCATTTTACATCGGCAGTTATCTAATACTCCCTCCGTTTCTAAATATTTGTCTTTTTAGATATTTTAAATGGACTATCACATACGGATGTATATAGACATATTTTAGAGTGTAGATTCATTCATTTTGCTCCGTATGTAGTCATTTGTTGAAATCTCTAGAAAGACAAATATTTAGGACGGAGAGAGTAGCAGTTAAAAAACAACATCCCCGGTCCTCAAAAGGTTCTCCCTTTGCGGCAGCAAGGACAACTTGGTCAGTAATTTGTCAACTCTCCAAGCCATTCATACATCATCAGTTGATTAATTAATAACTGACGAGGGTATATCCGTACACATGCAGCTCGGCTAAGTAGCCACTAGGTACGGTTGACATCACTTGTATAGCTTCTGGGGCATCACTTTGCTTTCAGCACAAGGAAGTGCTTAATTAATCAGTTATTTGAGTTAAGTAGCAATCCAACGTGTGATTTTGCTTCGTCTTAGGAAGCAGGTTAAGGAGCTGTCTCGTTGCTACCTAGCTACTTGGCACTTGCAGTAGTGGTCAAACACTTGGCAGATAATATTTTTTTAATTTTGAGCGTGTTCATTCCGATGGATCGGGATTGCTTGAACCCTTCAAGTTATACGTAGTGCACATCGATTGCACAAGCAAAAGGCCGATTAAATATACTCATAGCATTATATTACTCCATTGCATTACGTGAGAGAATTCTCAATGATGAGTACCATGCATGCACATGGTGAACAAACAACAAAAACAATGAAACGTGCATGGTTGATCAAGGTATCATTTTACCATCCCATTGTTTTTTTATCTACCGGTGATCTACCAATTCATATGTGCTAGTATTCAGTTGGTATAATCATAATAAAAAGAAATCGATGGGGCATCATGAATCGGCAGCCAGTTACACGCATACATACAGAAAATATTCAATCCATGCTACTACAAAAAATGTTTATCCATGTGGCTATCTTGCATTGCTCCATATATAATTCTCAAATAAATTGTTGAGATATATCCAATGATTAGATACATGCATGATTATATGGTTGTTTAATTACCTTACACAACATTTAGTTACCTTTTGTCATTGATAACATTTAACTACTTGTACAACTTCTACTAGTAAGTATAGCAAACAAAGTGTAGATATATTGTTAGGGCGATGCATCACTCATAGGAGTGGACGCGAATAGATAGTGATATTGGGGATTGCTATCCTTCTCCTTATTGAGTAGATCTCACAATTGAGTCATGTGTACAAAATATGAGCATGACACTGTATTATTCATGACCATGTAATCTTAGTGTTTATGTGCCTCATGAGTTTGCTCTTCACATCACAGGTTTGCATTTGTGAGAATGGAATCTGCATTATCTTCATATATGTAGACCCGGGCTGCCCTGCTATGATACCAATTGTAGGGAACCCACTATGTGGTGGCTCTGGTACAAACTTCATTGGTGTCTATCTACCATTCTCATTCATAGCGGCTCCTAAAATTACCTTGGTTCTCTTTCTACCTTGCTTAGCTTGGCTTATCTTAGGAGGGGTGTGGCCACCCCTATTTAGAGTTGAACATGACTATTGGGTTGGTGTCAGGTGGCAACCATCCAAAACCCTCCACCATGACCCTAGAAGAAACCCCTAGAAATATCTTATATCTAGAGTTCTCTACAATTTTCCACACAACTTATCCAAACATGTGTTCTAGAACCACCGCAAGAAATATCAACTCCTGTGTAATCTCCAAATGATCTAGAAGTTTCTTATCTTTGACATGAATAACTTCTCTAGTATCCTCCATGGCAAATATCTTGATGTTTTTGATTGCTTACAAATATCTTCAACGACCCAAGTAAATATGTCATGTCATCATATGAAGCCAAATGGTGAGCATAGGTCAACATAGGGTGTGTTTGGTTCGGGAACGAAGTGGAATGGAATGTCATGGTTCCATTCCAGTGTAATGGGTCGGTTCTATTTGTGTGTTTGGTTGAGATATTTAATGGAATGAAATGGTTGCGTTTCAGTGTTTAGTTTGAGTGATGGAATGGAATGAATTCAGTTCAAAACATGATGAGACTGCGTCTCATATGCACAGATATACAATATGACCATAGCATTTATATCAAATTGTACTTTGACATCAAATATGGTATTCTTTCAATTGAATATTTACATTGAATTGTTTCCTATTGAGAGGACATAGACGGGTAAAAAATCATGAATGGGCACACAATCAAGGAAATTTTGCTCAAAATTTTGTGACTATTTATATTCAATTGGATTTCAATCAAGAAAAATTGCTCCCTGTTGCAGCCAGCGACAGGCAGTGATTGCGTGGGGTAGCCGGATAGGTGGCCGTCGCAGCTCGCAAGGGGATGGCCGCCGCCTCATCATATCAGGTCGCCGCCGCCTCGTCAGATCAGGACGTCAAGTCGCCGCCGTCTCCTAGCAGATCAGGACGTCACCGCCCTGTTGTGGATCCGCTTCCCTGGTCACCGCGCCCAGCTGTGGATCCGATGGCTTGGTCGCCGCTGCTCATCCGTCGGGCTTGGAGAGAGGAGCGCGGGGGAGTGACGGGAGACGAGAGGGGTTGGGGGAGACGGAGAGTGCGTCGGTAGGGGAGGTGGAGTGGGCGAGAGGCCGTTCCGCGTCGTTCCACCAAATTGGAGAAACGAGCGTGTTCCAGATATTGGTGGAATATTCTCTTTCGGGGAACGAGTGGGTTCTAGTCCGTTCCTGATCTAAACGCGAGAATGTGGCCCTGGGACGGGTCGGACCCGTGCCATTCCGTTTGATGACTGAAACTAAACAGACCCATAGAGAGGATATCTAGTGCCCAAGCACTCCCGGTGCTGCCAATGCACAATATCACCACTATATGATTTCATTTTTCTTACAATATTAAGTGAGTTGATAAGATATGTTTGTACAATGTGTAAAATTCTGAAAACGATTCAACCTACGTATGGAGAAACAAAATAAAAAAATTAGAAATTGAACCGTAATGGTGTTTGTAATTTGATTTTTGGTACTATTCATAGTTGGATTTGTCTTTTTCCAGTAAAATGTTTTCATGCTCTACATAGAATTTTGTGGTGCCGAACTCTTAGGTGGGACACACACTAGTTTCCATCGGTGTCCATGCATGGGAATATCAGCATATGTCTTTTTCTCTAACAATTTTTACTTCTTCTTTTTCCCAACTAGCTTAGCTTATTGCTTGTTCGTCTACATAGTTACATGGGTGTCTCTCTCGATCAACTCGTCTTTCCTTGGGTGCGATGACTTCCCAAGGAATCCAACCTTTCTGGGAGTAGAACAAAAGACAAGCCATTGCTCTCTCCTCTTTATTTTAAAGTACATGCACTTCAATTATGCACGTCTCTTTCCCCTAACATAAAGCATGCATGCTAAGTTGCTAGTATTCCATGCTCGAATTGATTCATCCAAAAGTCCAAGACTTGGTTACAATAAATAAGGAAAGAAATTTCAAACTAATAAGAATTTTATTCAATGAATGTTTACAGTTTACACCCTAGTTCACCCTACATATACATACACACAAATTAGACATGCATCTACAATCAGTTCTAGCTATCTAGGAAGATAATTGTGTTCTTCTTCTAGCTAGTCCGGCCTATATAATAGTATGTTACACTAACTTTACACAATATATATACTGTACTAATTTAGCCTGATCTACAAATTATGCATGAGTAATATATATCCCCCACGATCCATTGATCGATCGGCATCAATAATAGTGAATAATCAACTAGCTATAGTGTGGCAATAGTCAAATCGCTAGCTACCTTTCTCCTAGCCCTAATTATCAAGGTAGCATGGATCATATCCTGTCCTGCTGGGAAGGCTGGTCTGGCCCAAATATGGAGAAGCCGCCGTTCATCATCGTCATGGACCCATCGCTACCCAACCACCTCTTGGAAGCGTGCAACGACGACATTTCACCATCGTTGTTGCTGTCCGCCGTCGCCTGCCTCTTGCGCGCCGTGCTGGCCTCGCCGTCGCTGGCGCCAGCAGTGGTGCCGAGGAAGAAATGGCCGACAGAGCTTGCAGTCTCCGGCTGTGGTGGCGGCGGCATGCTGTCGAAGAGCTCCGAGACGGCGGAGTAGTCCACGAGGTAGTCGGAGACGGACGGATTCCTCGGCAGCATCCGGGAGGAGGAGGAGGTGTCCTCTTGCTGCTGCTGCTGCTGGTGGTGGTGGTACTGATGGTGGTGGTGGTGGCCGAGGCCGAGGCTGGCGTCCATGGACGACCGCGACGGTGACGGCGACGGCTCGTAGAAGGGCGACAGCTGCTGCGGGTTGGGCTTCTTGTAGATCCTGCAGAGCACCCAATCGTCCAGCTGCACGCATGCACAAGGAGAATCAGTACCACACGTGTGTGCGTGTATGTTGCAACAAACAGTCGCTTGCTAAGCTTGACAGGTAGCTTAGCTAGTAGGATGTAGCTTGTAGCTAGGGTAATAATGCAAGTCTCTTTCCTGGGGGTAAGAAGATCCCATGGGTAAAAGAAACCACGAAGGTGAGTTGCTGCCAAGTTCATTGACCAGATGAGTTGCTTGCTCGAGCAGTCGAGCTTAACTCACTGTCATCCACACACACGCAACGCAACCAATAATAAGAAGAGAGCAAAAGATTCCTAGCTAGCTCGAACGCTTCGATCATTTGGAACCGCAGAAAAGATTCGTAATCTAGAAGAGCATTAAAACATGAAATTAAAGGAGTAGAAAAAATGAAGATACAAAATGATGGAGAGAACCGAGAGAGACATGCATGAACGTTAGCACGTACCCTCATGGAGGAGGAGGCCTTGAAGCGCGTGGGCGGCCGGTAAGTGTGCGCGGCGGCGGCGGCGTGGGCGTCGGCGAGGCGGTACTCGTGCATGATCCAGTTGGTCTTGAGGCCCTTGGGTGGACGCCCCTGGTAGAACACGAGCGCCTTCTTCACGCCGACCACCTCGCCGCCGGGCACGCCGCCGGCCGTGATGGGCTTGTCGGTGCCGGTGGCCTTCCAGTAGCCGGACCCGGCGGCGCGGTTGGGGCGAACGCCGTTGGGGTACTTGCGGTCGCGGGGGCTGAAGAAGTACCACTCGTCGTTGTCGCCCTCGAACACCGCGCGGGACGGGAGCTCCCAGGGGTCCAGCTTGTAGATGTCCACCTCCGCGATGACGGCCGCCGGGCACGGCGCCGCGGCGGCGCGCCTGCGGAGGTAGTGCACGATCAGCTCCTCGTCCGTGGGGTAGAACCGGAACCCCGGCGGCAGACCCGTGCCCGCGCGCGGTGGCGCACCCGCCGGCGCCGGGAGCGACGGCCTCGTCTGCAGCTCGATCGTCATGGCAAGTGGCAACCCGAACGCTCGGTCAGAGACTCAGGGCGGGGTGAGGGGGAAGGGAAGGGAAGGTGGGTCGAGACGGAGGAGAACTGAAATTCTCGGAGGTGGAGCCGATGGGTACGGTTATAAAGGCGCTGAGGTGCTCCGGTGCATGGCAGGCTCCTGTAATTCTTGGCCGCCGGTGACGAGAGGGATGATGATTCCAAGGGCCCTGCCGTACGTGCGTGTCCATCCATGTCACGTCATCAGTGCTCACACTTGGCTAGTATCTTTAATTTGTTGGAATCTTTTCTTTCTTTTTTGTGCCACATGAGAACGAGAGTGGAAAAATCTGAAAAAGACATGAGCAAAATGAATGGACGAAGAAATCAATTGTGCAAATGATTGGAAAAGATGGATATTAAGCTCGATGTTGTAGGACCGGGAAGTGTTGATGGTCCCACAGGAATACCATATATAGGAATAGCACATGGATACCAGGTGTGTTTATGTATGTTCTCATTGACTCCATATTCCTATGCATGCATGCATTCACATGCATAGTCATCTGCTGCTAGCTGAGACATATCTGAGAACATTATATTCATCGCTGGAATGCAAACATCAGAAAATCATGGGCTATGTCTACACTCCTACCCCCCTACTGCTAATTGATTGATTGAGAATTGCTTAAATATCTCCATAGCATTTAGATCAAGATTTAATCATTCTCATCTATGTCACTATATGCCATGCAAGCTCAAAAGTTCAATAAGGTTCTACTTGCACATTTCAAGAGTGAAACTTCAAAATTGGTAGTGTGCAATTTTTAGTAATTGAGTCCACAGAAATTTCAGCTAGCTACTCCCACAACTTAATAAAAGGCGCATTTTTGGACTTAACACGGTCTTTAAAATGCAAGTTTGACAACTAGTTTCTATTGTCATATATGTATAACAACCGACACAACTATAATATTTATGAAAAATACTCTTTGAGTCTATTATATGCATATGGTTCAAGTTTCAAATCTAAATATATAAGTTAATACTGATGGTCAAAGTTTTCATAGTTTGACTTAAGACATGTCCAAAACATCATTTTTATGCGAATTCGTGGGAGTAAGATTAGCAAAAGCGAAAATCATTTGAATC